GGTAGACTAAACTCACTGTCATCACGTCAATAACCATCAAATAGTGGCACCTACTTGCCAAACAATGAGATGAAAGATAAAGCTTTGTATTCTTAACAAGCACCAAGTGGATCAAGATGATTCAACTTGGTGAACTAATGAAGACCAAAAAAAGCACAATTAAATGAACATGTTTGGTTACATTCTAATGCTCTGCAATGTACTTTCATTTTCCTCATATAATTGTAAGCTTCAGAAAGTCAGAACTTTGTTTCAGTCACCCTGGCACATAATATTTTTGCATATTAATAGATGTCCAGTAGGTAATCTTTGAATAAATGGATAGCATATATGTACTCAACAGTGGAAGTTAAGAGTTCCTATACGCTATGAGATAAGAAGTAGCCACTAAATTTATTATAAAATGAGATGGGATTAAAAAACAAAAACATAACAAAACCAATTCACTGCTGCTGATTAGACTTGGACTCAGTGAATTAATTAGAACTAAAAAAGACTTCTTAAATGTTTGCTTTAGGCTCACTTTGTAAAAATATCTGGGAACTGGCTGGAAAGGATGGACACCTGACAACCAACAGGCACAGGACTAAGCAAACTGTTAAAGTATATAAACAATACTAAGATAACAAAAAGAAAAGGCCTTATTAAGGACATAGTGAGAAATAACACACAAGACAAAAAGGTAAGGTTAAGAGTATTGAACGGTAATCTTTGGCATTGCTAGCTGGCTCTTGAGTTTTTACCTCATGGCAGCCCCAAGGATGCAGAATAGACCTGACTGTTTGCAAGGCTGTGAACATAGACCTGACTGTTTACAAGGCTGTGAACGAGTGAAAGCATATTGCCAGGCCTCACTTTTAAGTTGCCTCTAGGTAAGTTCTAACTGCCAACCTTTTGGTTAGCAGTCTAACCATATGCATCAGATAGGGGCTTCTGGAAAGGTACTATAATCAAACATTTACTAAACTGAACCTATTTCAAAATGACATTATTTTATACAAACAACGAATGCTTATTTTAAATTGATTGTTGAAGATTAAAGCAAGTATAATCAAAATCCAATATATTCAAAGTATCAGATTTACTCAACTCATGATCTTTTGGCTCTACACACAAAAATCAACTTGTATCAAACCTATCCTAATACCAAATATAAACATATTAATACCAAATATAAACATATTTGAAGCCCAATTTAAAAGATACAAACTTAACTTTATTTCACTGTCATTTAAAGCTTGATTTTATCAAACATAAAAAATATTTTTAAAGAGTTCTCTACCACAGAAAATTAAACAGTAGAAACATCCATAGCTTCATAGGTACAGGTTATATAAATTAATATCAAATGGAAATGTTTTCAACAAAGGAATTATACATCTAAATAAGTGGTGGAAGGACCCCTAAGTTTCATTACTCCTGGATTATATTA